ACCACACCTACTCTGCGGTGGACGGGGAAGGTTGGGGATGCGTCTGCGTTCTGTGTCTGGGGATCTCGAGCTTTCGTCTGCGACTTGTCTGCGGACAAGTTGTCCTCCCGTGTTGTTCCTTGCGTCTTCCTTGGCTTCCCCCCTGACGCGCCTGGTTGGCAGTTTTACCACCCCACCTTGCGCCGTGTTCTGTCCTCTCAGGACATCACGTTTGACGAGTCGGTTTCTTACTACCGTCTCTTCCCCTACCGCACTGCCCCCCTCCCCCCCCCCGCCGCTCTTCCTCGTGCCAGGTCCTCCCCCGGTCGACCCCCTACCCCCTCAGGGTCCTGCCCCCTCAGGTGTGTCCCAGGTAGACGCAGTCGAGCCTGTCGAGGTAGCTGTTGACTCTGGTGCTATTAGGGGTACTGAGCCTGCGGGTGCTGGGTCTGGGGGTGCTGAGCCTGAGCGTGCGGAGACTGGGGGTGCTGAGCCTGGGGGTGCTGAGCCTGGGGTTGCTGAGTCTGGGGGTGTGGAGCCTGAGGGTGCTGGGCCTGCTCGTGTGGAGTCTGGCGGTGCTGAGCCTGGAGGTCCTTAGGGTGCTTCGTCCCGGCGGGAGCCACTCTCTCCTCAGCAGTTGCGCGAGTGGTTTGTTTGGCGCTGGAGCCGTGCTGCTGGAGCTGGTGGTTCTCTGGGCGCTGGAGGCCCTGCTGCTGCTGGAGGTCCTGCTGCTGCTGGAGCTGCTGGGGGTTCTAGGGCCACGGGTCCCGAAGGTGCTTGTACTGGAGGTACTGGAGCTGCTGGGCCTGGTGGTGCTGCTGGAGCTGGAGCTGCTGGAGGTGCTGGAGCTGGCGGTGCTGCTGGGGCAGGTGCTGCTGGAGGTACTGGAGCTGGAGCTGCTGGCGCTGCTGGAGCTTCTGGTGGTCCTGCTGGAGCTGGAGCTGCTGGAGGTGCTGGAGCTGGAGCTGCTGCTGGAGCCGGTGCTCCTGTGGGTGCTGGATTTGGCGCTTCTGGTGCTGCTGGAGGTGTTGCTGGAGCTGGTGGTACTGCTGGAGTTGGAGCTGCCACTGGGGGTGCTGGTTCTGTCCCTACTGGTTGGTGGCGCTGCGCGGCCGCGGCCGTACTACGTTCCGCTCCTTCAGCATGTTCTTGGTCTTCCGCCTTCTACTGGTCCTGCTCCTTCCTTAGGGTGTCCACCGCCTGTCCAGTCGCAGTCAGAGTTACTACCCGCCTCCCCACTGCCTGCTCCTTCTCCTTACACTGGTCCGACTGGAGATCCTGCTGAGCGTCGTGAGCCTGAGTTTCGTCCTGCGTCGCCTGTTCGTGCTACTAGCACTAGTCGTCGTGGTTCGCATCAGTGTCCTCCTCCTGTCCCTGGCATGCACCGGATGGCTCTGCGCCCATCCACTGCTCCACAGCGTGTCCCTCTGCCGTCTCCTCCTGCGTCCTCTCTTCCTGCCCTTTCCGACCCGGAGTCTGACTCCCTTCGTGCTGCTAGTACTACTGTCACGCGTCTCCTGGCCACTGTTGTCGCTGACCCTTCCTTTGAGTCCACTGCTGCGTCTGCCTTAGTTTCTGAGCTTGTCGACTGCTCACTGTCGTCTCGACTACGCCGTTAGTCTTGTTGCTGAGTCTGCGTCTGTCTCTCCTCCGTCCGTCGGGGGTGAGTGTGCTCTTAGCACGGACGTCCTTGAGGACAGGCAGGAGGACGTCTGTCCCTGGCATGCACCGGGTACAAGTAGGAAAGCCATGCTCTCCGCTTGTCTTCAAGGCGCGTTACGTTGCTCGAGGCTTCAGTAAGCGACAGGGAGTTGACTTCTTCCAGACCTTCTCCCCGACCCCGAAGATGACCACTCTTCGGGTTCTGCTGCACGTCGCTGCTCAGCGTGACTACGAGCTTCACTCTCTTGACTTCAGCGCTGCTTTCCTACAGGGCAGCCTGCACGAGGAGATCTAGCTGCGCCGCCCACCTGGCTTCACTGGGTCGTTTCCTCCTGGTACCCAGTGGAGCCTCCGGCGGCCAGTCTACGGTCTCCGCCAGGCGCCCCGTGAGTGGCACGACACACTGAGGACTACGCTTGCGGCTCTTGGGTTTGCTCCTTCTACTGCTGACCCGTCGCTGTTTCTACGCACCGACACTTCGCTGCCGCCGTTCTACATCCTCGTGTACGTCGACGACTTGGTCTCTGCCACTGCTAACACTGAGGGACTCGCCCACGTGAAGTTGGAGCTGCAGAAGTGACACACGTGCACAGACCTGGGTGAACTGCGCAGTTATCTTAGTTTGCAGATTACCCAGGACAGAGCACGGCGCACCATTACCTTGACACATGGTGCAGCAGGTCCTTTAGCGCTTCAACTTCACATACTCCTTGCCTCAGGCCACTTCTCTGTCTACTCGCCACTCGCTCTCAGCTCTGCCTTCAGATGAGTCCGTAGAGCCGAGTGGCCCGTACCCAGAGCTTGTTGGCTGCCTCATGTACTTGATGACCTGCACTCGACCTGACCTGGCATACCCTCTTAGCATCTTGGCACGCTATGTTGCTCAGAGAGACACCGACCAGAGCACATGGATGTAGCTAAGAGGGTGTTGCGCTACCTGTGCAATACGTCGGGCATGGGGCTCGTGCTTGGAGGACGGGCTCGAGTTGTCCTCACTGGTCACGCAGACGCTTCTTGGGTTGACGACTTGGCTACGCAGCGGTCGTCACAGGGTTACACCTTCAACCTTGGTTCCGGCTCTATTTCGTGGCGGTCTACCCGCTCGTCTTCTGTTCTCGGCTCCAGTTGTGAGGCTGAGATCTACGCTGGGGCCATGGCTGCACAGGAGTTACGCTGGCTCACCTACCTGCTGACCGACTTGGGAGAGGCACCTCGCTCTCCTCCAGTTCTGTACGTCGACAACAAGGCCATGCTGGCCTTGAGTCAGGAGCACAGAACGAAGCACATTGCTCTGCGCTACTTCCTTGCAGCAGCGTGGTCAGCTTCGTCTTGCTTACGTGGCCTCTCGGGCCAACACTGCTGATATCTTTACCAAGGCACTTCAGCCTTGTGATCATCAGCGTTTCTATACTATGCTAGGTCTTGTGCCTACCGGGCCTCACTTGCTTATCTCTTGACTTTGTTTGTATTGTGATCTATATATACCTGCACCTGCATGCTTACCCTTGCTAGGTTGAGATCACTGTCTTGCTTGTTCACCTTGCTTTATAATCCTGCATGTGAACTGGCCTTGTGGCCTTGAACTGGTGCTCAGAATGTGTGGTGACGTTGTGATCCACCCTGAGCTTGACCTTGCCTTGTTCTCTTGCTTGTCCCCCACTTTGCCTATGGGGGTGTGTTAGAACTATATTGTAGGCTGCAGTGGGGTAGACAATATAGGGTACAACTCTTTTAGGTTTTCATACTTGTACCCACCTGCTTGCTAGTTCATTCATTCCTCGTTCTTATTCTCACACTCCGTACTACGAGGGTTGAGTTGGTAGGGTTTGAACAACTCGTCACTTTGCAGATCTGAACTCTTGCTAAAGCTACTCTCTTGATCTAATCCATGGCTGTCAAGCAATTTTGCCAGGATACCCTGTCGCACTTAAAACGCGATAGCGATCGGCCTAGGTCTTGGTTGAAGGCGTGCGTTACCATTCTGAAAAGTAGAGATTAAGCCCTTTCCGACGCGTACCTGCTCATATTTTAAGATTATGTGAGTTGCACGCAATGTTCCGTCGAAGTCGGCGGACTTAATCTCTTGTTACACTCTCTAGATTCGCTCGCTTTCCATCAATACCCTCACATGCACTCATATCCTCTCACATGCACTCATATCCTCACATGCGCTCATATCCTCACATGCACTCATCCTCACATGCGCTCATATCCTCACATGCACTCATATCCTCACATGCGCTCATATCCTCACATGCACACATATCCTCACATGCACTCATATCCTCACATGCACTCAAATCTTCACATGCACTCATATCCTCACATGCACTCATATCCTCACATGCACTTATATTCTCAGATGCACTCATATCCTCACATGCACTCATATCCTCACATGCACTCATATCCTCACATGCACTCAAATCCTCACATGCACTCATATCCTCACATGCACTCATATCCTCACATGCACTCATATCCTCACATGCACTCATATCCTCACATGCACTCATAACCTCACATGCACTCATATCCTCACATGCACTCATATCCTCACATGCACTCATATCCTCACATGCACTCATATCCTCACATGCACTCAAATCCTCACATGCACTCAAATCCTCACATGCACTCATATCCTCACATGCACTCATATCCTCACATGCACTCATATCCTCACATGCACTCATATCCTCACATGCACTCATATCCTCGCATGCACTCATATCCTCGCATGCACTCATATCCTCACATGCACTCATATCCTCACATGCACTCACATCCTCACATGCACTCATATCCTCGCATGCACTCATATCCTCACATGCACTCATATCCTCGCATGCACTCATATCCTCATATGCACTCATATCCTCACATGCACTCATATCCTCACATGCACTCATATCCTCACATGCACTCATCTCCTCACATGCATTCATATCCTCACATGCACTCATATCCTCACATGCACTCATCTCCTCACATCACATGCACTCATCTGCTGTTGCTGCTGCTGCTGACCCCAGTGGGAGTACGGCACACTCTCGGGGGGCGGACTCCCCTACAGGCTGTCATCTCTTCCTCTCGCACATTCTACCTTTTGCTGCTGTTGCAGTGCAGCTGACACCCCGGGGGATACGGACACACTAGAGCATGACTCGCTTACAAGCAGCTGTCTCCTACTCGTGCAACTCTTTGCTTGCTCTGCTGCAGCTCATGCCAGCGAGAAGGCACACATGCTACAGGCTGACGCCGTACAGGCTGGGGTCTGCTCCTCTATCAGCTCTTTGCTTCAGCTCTGCTGCTGACGCCAGGGGGAATATGGCCGCGCTATAGGCCGACTTGCTTACAGGCTGTGATCTCCTCCTCCTGAAGCTCTTCACTCATGCTGCGGGTGACGCCAGGCGGGGCGACGTGGAAGGTGATGGGCATCATAGGCTGCTGGTGCACCATCACTCCCATCATGCCCAGATCCACCAGCAGCCTGCATGTGAAGTGAGCAAGGGAGGATGCATGCACGGGCACCAGGTGATTGATGGGCAAGGCCTGCGGTTGAGAATTCTCAAAAGAGACACCAATGTAGCATGACGGCATTGGGAGAGGGCGGGGAAGAAGGGAAGATGCAACGGGCACAAGGCTCATGGCCCTCCCGCTCACACCCCACCCGCTCACGCCCCTTCCGCTCACGCCCCTCCCACTCACGCTCCTCCCACTCACGCTCCTCCCACTAGCGCCCCTCCCACTCACGCTCCTTCCACTCACACTCCTCCCACTCACGCTCCTCCCACTCACGCCCCTCCCACTCCCGCCCGTCCCTGCCACTCACGGGGCAGCGACGTGGATGTAGACGTCGGTCGTATCGGGGATGGTGTAGCGCCGGTCGTCCCGGCCGTGGTCGTTCCACCCCGCCCCAACGAACAACAACACGAGCCCCTTGCTGGCGCTTGACAAGTTGTCCGGCACCTGGGCGGGCGGGAGGAGCAAGCACAGCCACAAGGCATGCATTAAAGGCTTCAGGCCTGGACGCCTCACCCCCCCGCAGCACATTAGATGGCACGCGGACCAAAGTGAGGAAGGGCATGCGGAACACTGCTGGCGTTAGGCGTGCCATCTGGAGCATGGGAGGTCGAGACGAAGGACAGCCTGCAGCCATTGAAGGTCAGTGCATTGAAGGTCACTGCATTGAAGGTCAGTGCATTTGAAGGTCACTGCATTGAAGGTCAGTGCATTTGAAGGTCACTGCATTGAAGGTCAGTGCATTGAAGGTCACTGCATTGAAGGTCAGTGCATTGAAGGTCAGTGAATTGAAGGTCAATGCATTGAAGGTCAATGAATTGAAGGTCAATGCGATGAAGGTCAATGAATTGAAGGTCAATGCATTGAAGGTGAATGCCTTGAAGGTCAATGCATTGAAGGTCAACGCATTGAAGGTCAATGCATTGAAGGTCAACGCATTGAAGGTCAATGCATTGAAGGTCAATGCATTGAAGGTCAATGCATTGAAGGTCAATGCATTGAAGGTCAACGCGTTGAGGGTGAGGCTACAGGCATTGCCACTGCTCCGCATATACACCCATTTGGCTCCCCATCCCATGGCACAGTACCCCATGGCCCTGCACAAAACGGCGCCCATACCACACTGCAGTGATCAAGTGTATGTGACCACAAGACCACAGGCACCGATGCTTACCAGTGTTGCTTTCCAAACGTACTTCAATCTAGCTCATGCACCGCCTGTACTGCTTGTTCCCACCATATCGGAGTCTGAACTCACAATAAGCGTCACGTGATGCCACCAGTAAAATCGGTTAGTAACGGATTGGTTGAGCCAGCGTTGGGTTCTCACCAGCAGCACATACCCCGTCCACCACCCCCCAGGCTCCTTGGCTCGCATGCGATTGCCCGTGTCCTTCCACCTGCCAGGCCAGCAGCAGGGCGGGATGGGTTGCTGGGAGTGAGAGCACTGTGCAGCCACCCTCCAGGCTCCTTGGCTCTCATGCGATTGCCCGTGTCCTTCCACCTGCCAGGCCAGCAGCAGGGCAGGGCAGAGAGAGCAACGACCGCCATAGGTCGGATGGGTTGATAAGAGAGAGTGACAGTGGCGTTGAGGCATTGATATTGGTAGCTGAAGGGAGGTGGAGGAGGGCACTACATAAGGACACATATCTCTACGACACATACCTCTACGACACATATCTCTACGACACATATCTCTAGGATACATAACGCAGATAATGCAGAGCTAGAAAACGGAGATAGAAGGCTCAAGGCAGGTTTGGGATCAGTGGTCACTCACACACCCCATCCTCCGCTCCACCCTCCAGGCCCCTTCGCCTGCATGCGGTTACCTGGTTACCCACGAGTCCTCCCACTCGGGTAAATGAATGCTCGTGACTGAGCGAGAACATGCAGGAGTGGTGCACGGCTCAACCACGAGGTGATTTAAATGTTCAGGCCGTCAGCTTGTGCTTATAACGAGCGTGCACGATGAAGCAAGAGACTTCAGTCTGCAAGGGGTCACTGAGCAGCGCAGGACCCTCTGGAGAACTATGGGTTGTGATTTCGACTCACGCATGGCACAGGGGGGAGTGCATGGCTAGTTTAAGGCCGTCTTTCGCTTCTGCAAAGTAGAATGGTTTTTGCTGTATGCAACCGTTGAAAACTCACCCGAATTCCGCATCCGCGGTATAAACATATCTGTCCAGCAGTGTGCCGTGACAGTTCCTCGCCGTCTCGCAGCCGCTTTGCGGGAAAGGGGGCGATTCAGAGGACTGTGCGGTTTCCGAGGAGAGCAGGCTGGGTCGCAGCTCGAAGATCGCCAAGTAAGCGACGGTCAGCGCGACGGCGACAGGCAGAATGCGACGAGTGAGAGCCGCTTGGAGGCGCCTGGCGACGACGCCAGGGCCCGACGCGTGCGTACGCGACATAATGAGCTGCTCGTTAAGGGATACTGATTGCTTCAAGAGAACTCCTGCAGTCAGTCGGCTCACTACTAGAATCTCAATACGTCAATCTTGCTAAACACCAGAGTGCATTGTTCATCGTCGATCTCAACCGACTCCACTGGAGGCGACGACGATAAACCACAGCAGATAGTTTTCGGGTTGTGGGTTCAGTATAAAAGTTTCATCCTGGTGCGCACCGGTCTACAGTGGTGAAAACTTAAACCGCGTCTGAGCATGATTGACCGTATTGACCGGGTCAACGGAAAAGTATGACCGTCCTAAATAGTTTCTAGCTGGAATATCGAACCAGGTACTGCAACGGCTCACCTGTGGAAACACATCGTACATAAGTTGGTTCGATTGAGGGATAACAAACAAGCAGGGGCTGCTCGACAACAGGGCTATGACTTAGGTTTGGAGCACCAGATCAAGAAAGAGTGACTTTCGTGCGCCACCTGGCCCCATCGACTGGCACTCGCCATTTGCAGGGTACGGCCGGGTAAATACGGCTGCGAACTACGCTAAGGGCGTGTAAACTAGCGTTCAAAAAGGTTTGAAAACTCGTCTTCGTGCACCTCGCAAATCACATTCGCGAGGAGTTTTTGAAAAAGTTAACACTTTCGACTTTGACGTGTTCGAATTCTGAATTCCCAGCCACATTCGAACAGCACTCCCGATCGCGGTTCGGGCTCCAAACTTGTGCGACGTTGCGACGCTCACGACATGCCGACGTGTGAGGTTTGACTTAATCAGACGTTGTGCGACGATGACGAGACTGTACAAAAATTACGCCCGCGACGACTTGTCCGAACCTTGAAGTGTTACTTTTGAGTGCCTGAGCAATTTTTACGAAACTTCGAGCCAAAAGCCACGAGTTCGAATAACAACAATGATGGCAGTTCGTTAAAAAAAGATTGATTTTTTACAAAATCGAGCACTAGTGTACACGCCCTCAACCGAGTTAAAAAATGCTGTACTCTTTAGTGACTTAGCCATTACCTATTTTGGTCTCACCACATTTCACCACCTGAAACATTCAATGACAATGTTCTACCTCTCCGCCATGGATACTATCAGGAACTTAACTAGTGTTACGAGTGCAATTGAGTGAACGAACGAGAATTGCACTATCGAAGCAAGAGTACAATGAGCGAAGGCATGAGCGAAGAATATATAGCGAAACTACAGTGGTAACGGTAATGGATTGTGGTTGTCGCGCGACGGGCCTGTGACTGAGGTTGGGAAAAAGTGTCGAAGCGGAGGCCCGGAGCGCGGGTTACCCGCCGAGCCGTGAGGTCGGGGTGCGATGTGCGAAGGTGGCGGGCAGATTGTCGATGCGAGGGTTGCGAGTGGTAACGGTGCTGACTGTGGTGCTACAGTGATGTACGCGTTGAGCAGGGATGCGAAGTAAGGAAAAGGAATTTTCCTTACACTACCCCCCCCCTTAAGGAGGTCCCCCTTACGAGAGTGCGTGTACATCCCTGAAATTTCGGCTGCGCAGATACTCGGTGAGGACAGGGTGGTTTTCGATTCTGTCCAGGGGAACCCAATTGTCTTCGGTGGGTGTACGGTCCTTCCAGCGGAGTAAGAACTCGATCCTTCGGGCTCCTCGAGGGTCGCGAACTCTGTGACTCAGGATTTTTTCGGGGGTGATGATTGGTTCAGTTGGTGGTCTCGTCATGCTGGTTGGGCGATTGCGTGGCAGTTGGCTCGTGGACGGGACGTAAGGGCGAAGTAGGCTAACGTGGAATGAGGGGCTGACGTACCAGTCAGCAGGGAGGAGGAGGTGGGCGGTGACGGGTGTAAGCATGTGGCTTATGCGAAATGGCCCGCAGTATCGGGGGCGGAGTTTCGGAGTGATGGGCAGTCGGAGGTTCTGAGTGTCAAGTAAAACTAAGTCGTCGGGCTGGTAAGTGACAGGTCTGCGGTGGCGGTCGGCGTTGCGTTTAGCGATGATGTTCGATTTTTTTATTGCGTCTACTGCCCGCGTCCGTGCTGCTTGTAATATTTCGGCGAGCTGTTGTGCTCGTGGTACTGGGTTGTCGGGATTCGGGGTCATGGGTACTGTTGGGTCTTGTCCGTAGTTTAGGTAAAATGGTGACTGTTGGGTCGTGGCGGATGGCGAGTTGTTGTACGCGAATTCGATCAGTGGCAGTTGCTGTTCCCACGTGGTCGGGTCGTCACACGTGGCCCTGATGAGCTGTTCCATGGTCTGATTTGTCCGTTCTGTCTGTCCGTCGATTTCGGGGTGGTATGATGAACTGAACTGCAGTCGCGTGCCGAACTGCTGCCACAGGTTCCGCCAGAAGTTGCTGGTGAATTTTGTGTCGCGGTCGCTGATGATCGCGGCGGGTATCCCGTGCAGTCGAACGACGGTGGAGATGAAGAGGCGTGCTGTTTCTTCGGCTGTGATCGATTTTTTGCAGGCTGCGAAATGTGCCATTTTCGTTAGTCGATCGACGACGACCAGGATCGCATCGTTCCCACTCGCCCCGGCTGGTAACCCCGTGACGAAGTCCATCGACACCTGCTGCCAAGCACGCTCTGGGGGTGGTATCGGCTGCAACTGTCCCGCCGGCCGCTGTCGTGATGATTTCATGAGCTGACAAGTGGGACACGATGCTACGTGTCGTTGTACATCGGTCAACATTTCGGGCCAGTAATAATACCGCTGCAGCTGCTGCCGTGTTTTTTCTACTCCGAAATGCCCCGAAGTAACTCCGTCGTGTGCCTCCTGTAACAGTAATTCCCGTAGCAGTGTATATTCAGGTACCCAAATGCGGTCAGTCCCGGTTTTTACGTAATAGACTCCCTTTGCTGCTGCGAATTGCTGCGAATTTCCTCCTGTGAAGAATGGATCCGTCTGGTACCCGTGGGTGAATAGGCCTGTCAGTAGCGGGCTTGTCTGGGCGAGTAGTATTGCGTGGATCTGGGCAGTGGGGCGGGTCAGTGCGTCGGCGATGTTCGAGGCTCCCTTTTTGTAAGTGACCGTATAGTGAAAGTTGGACTCGAGGAAAT